ATAAATAAATAAATAAATAAAGTGAAGGATAAGCTATTGCATTTAGTGCCCCCAACAACTAAAAAAGAAGACAGATGGATCCTGGAGAATGACAGTGGACTATCGTAAACTTAACCGGTTGGTGACCTGCCTTGCTGTTTGCTGCCTGTGCTGGGACAGCCTAGCTCTCTCTACAGAGGACTGTCTGGCGGCTCTCAAGACTTGAAGGACTGCCAGTGTGTCTCACAACTCTCTCGGGAGTGAGTTGCACTGAGCCATTTGTACGGCTTTATAATTTAACTGTTCATTTCTTGTGTTATATATTATCAGCAATCTGGTTTTATCTCTAGAAAACCCTGTCTAATACATTTTGGTACCAGGAGTGCTTCTAGAGAAATAAAATCATAAATATGGGCTTCTTAAATTGGCTCTCCAGCCTGATTAGACTTAACACTAGTTATGCTACTTCAATATCCCAAAGCATGAACAAGTCTGCTACTATTCCTAATCCATGGTGTGAGATAGCAAAGATAATACCTAAAGTAGCACCACCGATAGATGAGGTGCTGGTTAAAGGAGAGGCTCTGAATGATCGTATGTTTGATATTTTCCAGGAGTGTTAGGATGACAAGTATAGGGAAGCTGGTTGGCTGGTCCTTAAAATGGAAAGTGTGATTAATGAGAGGGATGGTCTTAGAGCCTCAAAAGCGCGCCTCAGGTGCAGACACAGATTTGAAAACTTCCATCTGTGTTACAAAGGAGAGCCTTCTCTAGCAAAAGAACTGACACTGCTGAGAACCAGGTCCAGAGTCTCATTATGCAAGTGGCTGAATTACAACAGCAGCTGAATTGCAGATCGAGCAGTGTCTGAAACCAGAGAGCATTGATTGGGAATAGTTGGGACCCTGAAACATGGGATGGGAACATACGGGCTGATGATCCAGAAGAGGAGGATATTAAGCCCTTAGAAACAATTGAGCCACCCCAGTCAATAGATCCACCCGTCCCAGCTGAAAGTATTAATGCACAATCCAGTGGACATATGTCTACGAGGGTTCGTACCCCACTCCTGGTACCAAAATGTATTAGACAGGATTATCTAGGGATAAAAGTAGATTGCTGATAGTTATATATATATATTTATATAGATAGATAAATAACAAGAAATGAACTGTTAAATTATATACAGATAGGTATATAATGCAAGAAATGAACAGTTAAATTATAAAGCCGTACAAATGGCTCAGTGCAACTCACTCCCATGAGAGAGTTGTGAGACACACTGGCAGTCCTTCAAGTCTTGAGAGCTGCCAGATAGTCAGTCCTCTGTAGAGAGAGCTAGGCTGTTCCAGCACAGGCCGCAAACAGCAAGGCAGGTCACCAACTGTCAGTCCCCAGCTCCAGAGATGTAAATTCCAATGGTGTGGTCTTAAAGGGACCTCAACTTACGGCCACACAGTCCACAGGCTAGGCGTCCCACAGGTAGTGTACTCTCTAAATTGAGACACAGAACAAGCAAGGCAGCCGCACACTGGTCCAATGATTAAAGAGTGAGAGACAAGAAAGGCAAGGCTCACCGAGCCATTTATCACTCTGCCCTTCAGTTAATCCCACTTGTGTTTATCGGCCAGCCTGGCACAATAAACTAGCTCAGAGGGGATGTCCAATTATCTACAGATGGGCATTGGGTCTCCACTCCATTCCCCCCACCCCCCATTCACCTTGGGTATGGTTTTGTTCTGGGTCTTAAATGACTGGTACCTGATCCCGTCGACACCTCATGATCACACAGGCTGGTGTATAATCACTTTCTCTTAACCGCTCCTAATTTTTTTGTCTCACATCTGTTCTTTCCTAAAGCTAGAGTAGTCGTCATCACACCCAAATCTGATCATGCTGTTCCTTTTTTAATCCCTCGTTGGTTTTATAATAAAAGCCTCATTCCTTTGCTCATAGATGTATATGATGCATGTTTACCTCTATTTTGTTGATTCAACAAATGTTAAAAAATACTTTATGCCAAGTCTTGACTATATGTTATCAAAAATCATATAGTTATCATTCTTTATGAGACAGACAATAAACGTGTTTGTATACTGGATGTTTGTTATGCATGTCTGTTTATATACACAGAAGGGAGCTTCAAGAAAGATGGGAAAAGTAAGATTTTAATTCCATTTTTTATGAACATTTTTAAGCCGTGTGTGTGTGTGTGTTTTCACATACAGGATCTTTATGTGTATGTTATATAAGAAGCCCTGGTGTGCAACAGTTAAGAACTTGACTGCTAAAATGGGTTCATAAGCAAATGTGGTGAAGTAAGCTGATGGTGCCCAGCTATTAAAAGATATAGCATCTGGGGTCTTAAAGGCTGGAAGCTAAACAAACAGCCATCTATCAGGGAAGCAACAAAGCCCACAAGGAAGAAGCACACCAGCCTGTGTAATCACGAGGTGTCAACAGGATAAGGTATTAGGCATCAGAAGACCCAAACAAACAAATATATTGATGCAAATGATAGGGGTTGGAGTAGAGACCCATATCTGGAGGTAGTTGAGCTTTCCCTCACAGAAGGGCCACAAGGAAGGATCAAGACAGCCAGGGGGCAGCACAGCACCAACGAAACACACAACATTCCTGTAGTTCTTTACTGCTTCCTCCCCCAACTCTGATGACCCCAGTTCTACCTTATAAATCCGACTAGACTGGAACATGTACAGTGGTACAGATAAGAGTTCTTGACACGTGGAGTCCAGGGCAGATAAACCCCTCGGGAACAACAATGGGTGTAGCAATACCATGAGGGTAGGGGGAAAAACGGAACCAACTACAATGACATATAATCCCTCCTGCCTCCCCAGGGGGATGGACAACAATAATGTGGACAGAGAGAAAGCGGGCATTTGTTAGATATGAAAAGGGGTCCATGAGAGTGGGAGGGTGGAAGAGGGAGGGGAAAAAAGAGCTGATCCCAACGGCTTAAACAGAAAATATTTTGAAAATATGATAGCAACATACCATATGTACAAATGTGCTTGATACAATTGATGATGGATTGTTGTAAGGGCTCTAAGAGCCCCAAATAAAATGACTTAGTTATAATAATAAAAAAAGAACTTGACTGCTGAATCAGAGATTGGTGCTTGAACTTACTCATCAGTTCTGCGAGAGAAAAACCTGGCAATTTTTTTTTTCCTGTAAAAACTGCAGCGAAGAAAACTGGGGCAGTCTACTGTGTCACCTACGTCACTGTGAGTGGGAATCAGCTCCACACCCAACAACCATGTAGTGTATATGCACACAAGGAGTATGAATACATGTGAGGGGCCTTCAGGAAGTATATGGGAATTGGAATTAAAAGATAGGAAGTTTTCACTAACTTTTTGAAGGCTCATATCGTAGGGTCATACATGGGGAAAGATGAGAGAAGATGCTGCCGTGTCAACTTACTCTCTCAGGCCGACTCAAAGAAAGTATAAAGTGCAGAACTAGGGGACATCACAATGTGGTTGGATTGGATTTGGAAAAAGAAGAAACAGCTGAATTGGTGACAAATTGAAGGTGGGTCGTGAGTCCGGAAGAACAGGCTCAGATTTCTGACTGGGGCAGCTGAGGATGGCAGGTTGCTGAGAAAGGGACCCATGTGTGAGCAGATTTGAAAGGAAAGCTGAGTTCAGATTAGAAACAGGGGGAATCCAAGGACCAGATTCACACACTTGAGGCAAAACTAGTGCTAGTTCTGGAGGAGCAGCTACTGGGAGGAGTTTCTTCAGTGAGCTTGAAGTGACACTGCGCCCTTGGCAGACCTGGGTAATTGAGCAAAGGTTTCCTTTTGCTGCTGTGCCTCGAAATCCCAGATCAGAGGGAACACCTGTTTAAACCTTATTTGCCATTAGTAATGGAGAGAAGTTTATTACAGAGAATGATTTATTAGGACCACCGTTTATTATAACCACGGTAGACTAAGATTCAATCGTATGAACTCGCTGAGAGTTTTATTTTTTAATAGTTTTATTGGCATATTGATTGTTTTTGCAGTCTTAGCAATAAATTCTTTGCCACTAAATGGGGCCTGGAAATAAGTTGAATGCTGTATTAGAAATATAACTAAAATATACAAAAGCAAATCTGTGTAATTATATCATAGGTAGAACTCAAAACTCAACTATTCAGCCTTTTTTGTATGTAAGATGACTTTAGAAAAAGTTTTTATTTGTTCCGTAAGAGGAGTAAGAGGGTTAATAGTTTAATTGCCCACAGGCATAGAAACGCCCCCAAATAACCAGTTAATCTTTACTTTTTATTATAAGCATTCTTTTTAAAATGTATTTTTTTCCTTTGCAGTACCATCTTTTGAGTGCTTTCTATTTGGTTCTCTTCCTATATGTGGTTTTGTGTTTCCGTCATTTGGAGGGTGTTGCTATTAATGGTAGGTGTTAGGTGGAGCGAGGTGAGTCAATGCACAGTTGAATTCCTGTATACAAATGGGTACTCACCACAAGACATCTTGAGTGTGGATTTAAGGCCACAGAGCCTGCTGTGGTTGCTCCAGCAAGTTTTGTATTCTTGAAGAACTGAAGAAGTGAGTAGTCACACCTGGTATTTAGCCATTGAGATTATATAGCTGACAACAGCTTGTGTTTTACAGACCAGAGAGAGAGAACCAGCATTTCTGTGGTGGTCACTCTGTATGTTAAGGAAGAAACTCGTGTAATAGCACGTTTATGTTTACTTTTTGGCTACAGGAGTGATGGAAGTGCAGTGCCTGTTTTACAACAAGATCACTTTCTGGATTCATCCTGGAGAACTGATAATGGCCTTATTGTAAGTATTTTTAATTTTTAGTTAAATCCTAGGTATGTGATAGTATCCCTATCCCAGAGTTGTGTGGGTTATTTTTAAGAGGTAGTTATTCTCAACTGTTACAGATAATAAAGTGAAACAATTTTCTTTAAGAAAAAAAATTTCTTATTTCTTTTGATTTGGGAAAATGGCCTGTTGGGAAACACCTTTGGAGCCAACTAGACTGAAGTAGAACTCCTTGCTCTACCACTTGACCAGATTTGTAAACCTCAGTTACTTTACCTGAAAAATGGGGATTGTTGCAGTACTTATTTCTTCCTTTAGCAGTTATATTTTGAGTACATACTGCATGCTATACAGTAGGCCAGGTTTGGGGGATACAACTATAATTAAGACAGACATGATCCTATGTTTAAGGAACTTAACATTCTACAGGACGTTCGGGTGGAACTAACATATACATTAATTACAGAATATGAACGAAATAGAGAGTCTGGCTAAGACTAGCACGGGGGCGGAGATTATTTTAGATAAAGTCAGTAAGTTACTTAAGCTGAGAACAAGGAGAAAAGAAATGAACAGACATAGTAAGACGTGGGGTTTGATTAGAGTCCAGTCTAATCTCATGATTAGAGATTAGGAATAAGCATTGATTAGAGTCCAGGGTCTAGACTAGAGTAGGGAAGGAGGGAGCAGCAGCATAGACAAGGTTGGAGAGGCAGGTGCCACTTCGGGTGCTGTGAAGAACAGCCTATAGGGAAGGAAAAGTACAGAAGCAAAGGGCCCAGCTAGGAAAATTGTAATGATTTCGGCAAGATACAGTGGTAGCTTGTCCTGGAGTGGTAGCAAAAGAGATACAACTTTGAGGATTGAGGAAAAAGAAAAGAATTCAGGATGAGTTCTTGATTCTTTTCCCTTGACTAATTTCGTGACCGATGGTGTCGTTTACAAAGTTGAGAAGGCAGGGGAAAGGCGTGAAAGTGTATGGCCGTGAATGATGCTTGGAAATGCTAAATTTGAGAAGCTACCCAAATGGACTCCAGTGAGTGGTTCTATGAATCCGTCTGGAACTTGGAGACGTGCTCTCAGCTAAAAAGATGTACCTTTTGAGAACTGAAAATGAATACAATCTTCAAGGAAGAAATTGTGGCTTAAGCAGGGCAAAATAATTATAGAAGTTTTGGAAATACATAGGCGCCAGTACCAGATCACCATTATCAACGTTAGCATGGATAGGAGTAGGAGCCTTGGTGTGGAACAACTTTGCATGCCAAGTCTCTGCTCTTCAGTGTAAAACGCTTGTTGTGCTGTGCTGCCTCTATGAAGATAATGATACCTCTCTTCAAGTGTCATTTTGGAACTTCCAGTGCATATGCGAATCCTCCAGAAATAGTGTTATTGTTTGTAATGATCATATCATCATGAATTTTTATTTGACAACTATAGAAGGTAATTTTAAGAAACAGTAGATTTTTTTAAAAAGCCAAACTTCTTTCTTTCCTTTTTAAAAAAATTTTTTTTATTAGCCTTGGACTCTGGATAGTACCATCAGTGAGGAGAACAGAGCTGTCATTGAGAAGATGTTGTTGGAAGAAGAGTATCCTTTAATGATTATAAGAAGAGATCTGAGGTTTAAAAATGTATTCATGCAAAAGTTACAAGTGGGGACAGATGGACTAGTCAGCTGGGTTTTATTTGGCTCCAGACTGCTGTTACATAATGTTGTTATATAATATTTTTAGGGAAAAGCTGCATTTTATTCCTCAAATCCTATTTTATTGCTAAGTCTAATATTGGATTCATTGTTTTAACTGAATTGCTATTGTCAGCCAACTACACTGAATATAAGATTTCATATTGAGTAAAATTTCTACAATATATAAATCAGAGCTTTATTCCAAATCAAGATTATTTAGTACAAGTCTTTGTTTTCAGTTATATAAGTTGAAATTCAGAGCTGTTAATTTATCCAAGGACACAGAATTAGCATATGTAAAAGTTTTCACTTCCCGCTCTACCAGTTTACAGGTGTGATGTGGGAGGAATGTAAGTAAAAAGCATGGAATAAAATAAATGTTGTTAGGTGCTACTGAGTAAGGACAAAATAGCATCCTATCTGGTCCTATGCCGTCCTCACAGTTGTTTCTGTGTTTGAGCGCATAGTTGTAGCCCCTGTGTCGGTCCGTTTCTCCAAGAGTCTTCCTTTTTCTCACTGCCCTTCTGCTTTACTAAACATGATGTCCTCTTCCAGGGACTGGTCTCTCCTGATAACATGTCCAAAGCACTTGAGACAACTCTTGCCACACTTGCTTCTAAGGTGCACTCTGATGGTATTTCTTCCAAGACAGATTGGTTGGTTCATTTGGCAGTCCTGGGTCCTCTCAGTATTCTTCGCCAGCGCCACAATCCAAATGCATCGAGTTGATTTTTTCATTCAATGTCCAACTTTCATAGGCATGTGAGGTGATTGAAAATGTCCTCAAAGTGACGTTTATCGTCTTAAACACAGAGGCCTCAGGCAGCATGTGTACTCCATGCAGAGATGCAGCATGTTTACCCAGTGCAATGCATCATTTGAAATCTTGTCTGCTGCTTTCATGAGCATTGGTTGTGAATCAAACAAGATAAAATAGATAGGACAGAATAAAGAGCTCTCCTCCCCCAAGGTGTGGCTCTGTGTTTGCAGTTCTGTGCGTGGGTCTTGTTCTAGCTTCTTTGACATATGATGTTAGCAATTGTAGGTTAGTTAACACATTGTAGCCATTGATTCCTTTCCACATCTGGAAGCAAATAATGAAAATAAGAGCTATGGAAGAGCCCAACAGACCCCAAGAGACATATAGGTATTATGCCTTTGTCTTCAGTGCCTAGTACCTAGAACCTCATTTGATAAACAAGGTGTACAATCAGTAAATATTTGTTGACTGACATTTTATTAACCCAGTAGTACTAACAATAATCTAGTTTAAGAACTTTGAAATGGAGGGTTCCAGGTATGTCTTAAGTGTATCTTTTTTATTAGGGTAAAAAATAACCCTGAACTCTGCTCTGTTTTCATTAGAAATAGGAAAGCAGATTGTCCCAAGTTCTACCTTGAACAACCAATCAAATCAATTCATTGGACTTTTTAACATATTTCAGAGAAAAACTTTACATAAAGCATGGGGTGTTTCAGGTTTTTTTTCTTTCAATTACATATTTTTGGTGAAAATTTACACAGCAGCTACTTACTGTCAACACTGACTCATAGGTCAGGATAGAGCTGCCCTGGTGAGCTTCTGAGACTGTTCATGGGAGTAGAAAGCCCCGTGTTTCTCGAGAGGAGCTGCCAACTTTGTGCATCGTAGCCTCACTTGTAACCACTACTCCATCGGAGCTCCTTACAGCAGCTTATGCACCTTTTGTGAAATTTCTACAAATGAACAAGATGGATTGACATGTGGCTGGGACAATGGGCTCAAACAGGGAACGACTGTGAGGACGGTGCCACCGGGCGATGTGCATAGGATCACTTTGGGTGGCAACTGACTGGAAGTCATTGGACTTTTCAACATATTGCAGAGAAAAACTTTACATAAAGCATGGGGTGTTTCAGGTTTTTTTTCTTTCAATTACATATTTTTGGTGAAAATTTACACAGCAGCTACTTACTGTCAACACTGACTCATAGGTCAGGATAGAGCTGCCCTGGTGAGCTTCTGAGACTGTTCATGGGAGTAGAAAGCCCCGTGTTTCTCGAGAGGAGCTGCCAACTTTGTGCATCGTAGCCTCACAACAGCCACACAAATTGTTCAGTGACGTTGCTTACACTCTTCACAGTGCCTAAACATACTCTTGATTTCCACCTGGTGGTTCTGTTTAATGTCCCTGTTCCCGGATCTTCTCATTTTGTTTTACATTGTTCACCATTTGATCTCATATAGATGGCTTTTATAAAGAACCTGAGTTGGGATCAATTAATGTGGCCCCTCTATCTATACTTTCTTATATGATGTATTATAATTCTGGACTCTGGCTGTCGCTCCATTTTGGAGGGCATTCTCTGCCATACTAATGGGCAGCATTAGTTCTAGTCCTCTCGGGTCAGAATGGACTCAGTAGCAGTGTTTGGGGTTTTTAAATTTTACTAAGGATGTGCTTTAAAAAGACAGCATCCTTTGTTTCTTTGGGGGGTCTGCTAAAGGATGAAAACCACATCCCTTCAAAGCCTTATCTCTGCTTCCTGACTGAGCTTTAGTAGAAGCAAGACAACACACCTTGATTTTCAGGCATTTTTGGCCTTTGGCTCTGGACCCTGCACTTGTCTGAAATCTTCAGATTTGCACTTTAACAGCACCCATAAGCATATGAAACATTTCTTTAACTTTGTGCGTGTGTCTATGGAACTTTGCAGCTAATGGCAGAGCCCTGGGGGTTCAAGAGAATGTGCTCAAGGGAGAAAGGGAAATTTGGAGCATTATACCATCTTGAAAGAGGTGGACATTGGGACTTCTTCAATCTCCAACTCCCCGGGACTAGTTTGATATCCTAAAATTATTACCGCAGAAGCACAGTATGACAGCCAGTTATGTAGGGAAGAAAATCTGAATGTCACTAGAAAACTGGTTTTTAGCGGCTGGTGTTTTCCAAAATAGATCACCCACACTTTATCTCAAGGCGTCTCTGGGTGAGTCAAACCACCAGGCTTTCTGTTTGCAGCCTAGCGCTTTGACCGTTTTCACCATCTAGAGCAGAGAAACATGCATTTATTTAGCACGTATGTTTTACAGTCACAGTCTTAAGGTATTTCACGCATATCATAGTCCATATAACAACTCTGAAGAATAACATGTATATTCTTATTTTTTGCAGATCTGAAAAAGGCTTTTGAGAGGAATTGGTTGGGCTAGAGCTCTAGTGTGACTGTGAAGTATGAGTGTCTACTTTATATAAATCACATAAAAGTTATCTTTATTACTGGTTTAAACGTTTCCTTAATGCTTATACAGGTATTACTTATCTAAAAAATCACTTCCAGAAAAATTCTGGTTCAATCAAAAGGAAAATGATAAAAAAGATGTGAAAAGGTAAAGTTAATCTATAATACTTTTTTTGTTTTGTTTTGTTTTTTAACCTATTTTATTTTTTTATTTTTTTAATAATCTATAATACTTTAAAGAAGGTTGAATTGCATTTTTAAAAGGCCTTTAAAGGGCACTTATTATTTTTTTCATGTGGTGCAGTCTGCAGAAAATGGGAAAAGTCATGTATGTACTTATGCTTTATCTTTTCAAATCTTTTTGGTTTTGTGAGAAATGGTGGGAAACTTTAAAAGAAACATTATTGTTCAGTGGATATGCCCTTGGACCTTGGGTTGTGCAAAAAGATAGAGTGAATGTAAATGTAAGCTCTCTCCTCCCGCTGCTGAAATGCAATAAGAATTGGTTAATGGTGGGCTTTGCCAGAATTTCTTCTATCACCCTAAGCAGGCAACTCTGTTAGATTATGGAAAAGATGATTCCGTAGGGATTTATGGGGCAATTTTATGAAGCTATTAGCTGATATAGACACTACTTATATAGGTGTCCTGGTAGTTCGTGGAGTTAAGGGTGGTTCTACAATCCTGAAGATCTGTAGCCTCAGAAATCCTAGAGGGCAGTTCTCCTCTGTCCTGTAGGGTCGGTATGAATTGGAATCGACTGGACAGCATTGCTTTTTATTGGTGTTGGGTTTAATTTTCATAGACTAGTTTAGTTTTACTTAACTTGGGTAATTAAGTTATCAAGGGAAGTTAAGTAAACCATTTTTAGTCTTTCCCTATCATTGAAGAAAAATTGGTATTTTGTGTTTACAAACATTGTTCATTGTCCATTAAATTGGTGAACTTAACAGAGTTTTTGTTTATATTTCCAATTGCCATAGCTTGAGCACTGAGCAGAGCTTGGCTTTGTATTTTTCAATGTAAGCAATAACCAAAAAATGAAATTAACTGACAGGCATGGCTGATTATTGTTAAATTCATGAGCATCACATTTTATGTTTAATATCAGTACTGTATTTTAAAGAAATAAATACAGTGCTTTAGGTTTTTTTGACTTTTTCTGGCTCAGTATGTATATAAACAAAGAAATAATAATGTTTCTGGTCTTGGGGACTGGATAACTGTGTGCTGCTTTGCATCCAGCCTGAGTCTTCTGATCACACTGACGTCCTTAGGCTTTTCCAGTGTTAGCTTCACTGAGACCTAAGGATTTGTTTTGGGGCTCCCAGCACTCTAATCTAGACTTCTCTAGCTCAGGTAGTTCACTTCCCTGGGTAGAAGAACAGGCTTTTTTAAAAAGCTGTAGAATTAAAAAAAAAAAAAGTTCGATTCAAGGACTAAATATAGTACTATGGCTATTTATAACCAAGTGGAATGTTCCATTTCAGAAATTGTTTGCAATTCCTCTTCCCCCCAGGGTACACTCTCCTACAAAACCAACCAGTTACTCAGTAAAGTGGACGATAGAAGAAAAAGAGCTGTTTGAACAAGGGCTGGTAAATAGAGCAATTTTTAATTTATAGTAAAATAAGTCTAGAAGCAAATACTGATAAAGTAATAAGGATAAATTAGTTTGTAGAGAACATAAATATCATTTGAATTACGGGAATAACTTTTCGTTTACTTGCACTTACAATGATGATTGTAGTGTAGAGCATAAGAATGTCTGAAAAATATATTTAAATTGCTAAAATTCTATGTTAACTTTGGGTTGATATTTTAAATAGTTTGGAGGGTTTTATTTACTTTTATTAATAAAACTTAAGGTGTGCATGATATCAATACCTGGATTTAAAAACAAAATTATTTAGACACGTGTATGTTAGGAATTATCTGGGTTATCAGTTTTATTTTATATTTTTATTTATATTTATATTTTACTCAGATATTTAGCATTGTGCATGTAGTCTAAATATCTCCAGTAATAAATATTACTGGAGACCAGAAACATTACTTTTGCATGAATGCTTCATTGAGGTCTATTTAAATGCCCATCATTTACATAATGGGTTATGTACCAGTTTCTAATTCCTTTTTTAAAAATCATTTTATTAGGGGCTCATACAACTCACAATCCATACATACATCAATTGTGTAAAGCGCATTTGTACATAATTGCCCTCATCATTCTCAAAACATTTCCTCTCCACTTAAGCCCCCCGGCATAGGTCCTCATTTTTTCCCTCCCTCCCCGCTCCCACCTCCCTCATGAGCCCTTGATAATTTATAAATTATTATTTTGTCATATCTTGCCCTGTCCGACGTCTCCCTTCACCCACTTT